CATCTTCCTATCTCAATAGTTAGGAAGAAGAGGAGATTATCATACAATATCTATTTACCCCATAAGAATTCTTAGCGATTTCACCCTTACGTAAATCGATTTTTTTTTTGGAAGAAAACCATGTGTCGGACGAAACAAAATCAAGAATATCCAGAGAAGAAGTTGTAATACTTCAATATTTGTGACTAACTACCAGAATAGGCTATAAACAATTTGTTAAAATTTGAACCACCCCACCCCTGTACTACCTTATTCCTAAGGCGATTTGGATATCTTCTTCTCATGATATACTACTGAAAATTGTCTACTCTGTCGAGCAGAAAAAAATCATCGATCACAATTTCTTAGCCTACTACGATCACAAAAACTCTAGCAAAATCAAAGAAAACGAATTAGGCATTTTCTCACCATAATTTTAATAGGGGCAATCGATTCAGACTAAAAATGTTGTTCTAAAATTTGTTCTAAAAACTCCTATATCAATTTTCAATTCAATATCTCATGAGGAGTGTTTTTTTTTTAACTTTACATTTTATGAATTATGGCATTTTTTGAGTCAGCGTGTACAATAATTCTTCTAATGATAGGTACCTGGAATGACGCTGATAAAGTTTATTGGTTGTAAAGTGTTCAATCGCAAAAACTTACAAATTCTTCAGTTACTGCTTACTGTTTAATTCTGATGAGTCGTATAGTATTCGGAAATTATGTGAATTTGCGTTGAATTACGCTTCGCTTTTCTCAAACAAATTTGACAGCTAGTATCGTGTAATTATTTTGCAAATCTCAAAGTATTGCGACGAGTAATAGAACATTGCAAATTAGTGGAGCAAGTGGAAGAAAATTCATGAAAAATCTAAATCTCCAGTGATTTTATTCATTATTCATCTCACTTCGTAGCCAAATGATCTAATCTTGACTACCATCATGCCTGGTATCATTCAAATGCTCATAAGCATTATTGTACACAGTGACTTGAAAAATGCAATCATTAAAAAATTGTAACGTTGATGAAAAACACTCCGTGTGAGATATTGAATCGGAAACATAGGAGTATTTGTGACAAGGTCTATTAACTTCTATAAGGTTATCTCAGAGTATAGCATTAGGGTGCGGGGGTGCGCGGAGGGGCGTGACGTCACTGTTTCCCCGCCACGTGATTGTTAATTTCGTTTGTGTCACTGTCAAATGGATTGAAAAAATGTTTGAATTTGAATTCGAAAGAATCGCGAATTTTAGACTTTAGTTGAAAACATGGTGACAAGAAGACTGAAGATATCTTTGAAAGAGGGTGAGAGGTTGTATAATAATATGGTCTAGTATTATTCAACGCTGGTCACATCATAATATTATTATGTGTGGAGTCAAGAGTGGATATTGAACAAACAAATGTTATAAAATGCCTGTGTTTACAATCATCTGCTCTTGGGCAGCATCCACATGAGATTCAGATAATTCCAAAGGAAAATGATGAGCTGTGGCAATGTGAATGTCCCTGTGAAGCAGGAATGTCATGGTTTTGTAAACACATTTTATAGGGACTTATATTGACAGGTAGGAAGGTGCACTTTTGATCTATTACACACACAGGTAAAAGATACATGAAATTTCAGGAATGGAGACTTGTAATATGTGAAGCTGCATATATAACACACAGAAGTGGTGAAAATATAAAAAGAGAGTAGATCAATCAATGATCTATTATACTGCAAAACCATTTCAATAGTTCTGCTACCCGGTTTTTAAAAGAAGGAAAGTGACCATCTAAAATCATTCTCCTTTTATATAATTCAAGTCAATTTTACAGGGGGTATATCAGTCTATTTTGTTTTTTGTTTGGAAGCCAATGAACTCAATGTAAACAATTAGCTATTGCATGGTACTCAGGAACACTGGTGAGTTTATAAAATTTTAACATACCATATCATGAAAACTGTATACTTACATTAATTTTGGGCTATACTTGCTACTTCATATTCCATGGATAGAATTTTCTCCATATGAAATTATTTTTTAGGAAGGAAGACCATGGAAATAATTGAAATAAGTGTCCTTACTGAGGTCCTTACATGGAGGTTTGTTAAATAATGTGTATAACATTCAGCTTGAATTATTTTCTCAAAATTTCAGGTAAAGGTTCAGAACATTTTATGTGGAACAATGCCATTTTGATAGGAGATGGTATAAAAAATGTGAAGTTGGAAGACAGACACACTTATTATGGATAAATTCAGTTGGGAATAATAGCCCTAAAATGTCCCTAATGATCTTGAAAGAAACTAATTTTCTTGTATAATTCTTCTTCCTCCAAAACTTACATAGAGATTCCAGTTAATTTTATTGTTTATCTATGATTTTATGAATCATTTTCATCTTAAAGATATTTCCATTATGTTGCACTTTTATTGCAATAATAAAATGGAATGAATTGTGATGACTTCTTTATTGATTTATTTTCTTATTATTTCATCTTCAAACAATGATATGTTCCAAATTGATACTGAAATAAGACCATTGAGTTAGAATCATTCAATTTATCCAGAAGGAAATCCTCTTTAGTTAATTGTTTCTTGTTTCTTCGAAATGATGGCCTTATCAATTTCAAGAATTTTTCTTCACATCCCTTGTCAGCATGCCCTTATCCACCATGATTCAATCATTAGGTTCAGACTTCCCAATAACATTTTCTTTATTAAAAAATGCTTTATCAGTAGCTCAATCTCCATATCCTTAAATGCCAACAGTAATCAGTCCTGATGGAGTGATATTGCAATAAGAATCTGACTCAGTTTCTGTAATGTGTCTGTACAACAGGAGCACTGTTTTTATTACTGAACAGATTCCGATGAAACTGTGATCAGTAATATTTCAAGACATCCTGAATCCAGTGGAGTATACAGAATTTTCATAAAATTCCTGAACATGAATTGATGGGTTGATTAAACGGCATATTTTTCAAATTTCATTCCTTTATAACTTCTTTATTGATTGACGCATTTCAACGTAATTCACATGTTACCCATTTGAAAATGTCACAAATCCAGTGGTGTAGTCAGATTTTTTCTAAAAAAATCGCTAGTAATTTTTTTAGATTTTTGACCTTGAAAAATCAGATTAGTTGGCCCTGGAAATGGAGATTTATTCATGATATTTGGTGTCCTAATAGACTTTTTGAATATCTACCTAACAAAAAAAAATCATTCCAATCGGTTGAAAAATGTAAGTTTTATAAGGGTGCTTCCATCTTAAATGGGTCACACTGTATATTCAAGGGTCCGATTGTTTGACCCATTTCAAGAATGAAACTACATATGAACAAATGTCGTAAACGTTCTAACTTTTGAGATACAGGGTGTCAATGTTGAAAATATGCATAGATTATTTTTTTGTCCACCCTGTATAGCTTTGTGATGGCAAAATTCAGCCTGCTATGTGACTGAATCGGTATACAAATTCAAACATCAAATTTTGGAGTCTGGTCTCGTGTTTCCGTTTTTTCTCGAAAACGAAGCGTTCTATCGAGTATCAACAGAAGGACCTTTTCTGTACCTAATTGAATGGCCATTTAAAGCATTGTATGATATTTGAAAATTTCTCGTCGCTGCTCACTTTGAAGTAAAGTATAAACAATAATTTTCCCGTAACGGTGCCACTGGTAGAGAAAATGAAAATTTTCGTACATCAGAAAATGCACCTTGATGCATGGAAGACGTGAACCAAATTTCATACGGATTTATACAATATTGTCTCAGTTATCATAAGAAAACTGAATATTTCTCAAAACTTCATCACCCTGTATCTCGAAAGTTAAGGCTTTCAGGACATACGTTCATATGGAGTTTTTTTTTGCAAAATGAGTCAGAGAATCACCCCCTCAAATACTACCCTGTATATATACATTATATCTATAATTTTAATAATCAATTTTGGTCCCCTGATATTTCAATTCACATTGCATGAGAGTCGTTTTTATATCAAATATTGTTTTCTAGCCTTGAAAACATTAATAAATATTTTCGAAGACTAAGCGATGAAGTCCTAGTGACTGAATTACCAGTATACCCTTTCATAGATACAAAAATGTTCACAAAAAACGACCAGTGCTGTAACTCCTGAATGATTCGAGTTCGCATTCTGAGAGGTGTGTACCAAGTACACCACATTGTTCTTTATTGACAAAATATATTTATTAGATCACTCACGGTTCAACCGGAAGCAACCCAACTTTCAATTTTTCAATAGGACGCTTCATATATTCCGACATTTCGATCGAAACAAGTTTCTAGTGTGTGTAAAATGATCTCTGGAATCCAAATAAGGACAAATATACAGGGTGTCCTATTTAAATATCAAAAGTTTGGGTTGTTTCCGGTTGAACTGAATGTGATAGAACAAAGATTATGTTTTCAATCAATGAGGAGTTTGGTATACTTGCTACCAACCAAATTTCAAAATTTCAATCGGATGATTCAGAAGTTGTTGATTTTTGTGCACTTCTTTGTATACTGAATTTCTGTTCATTTTATTTTGTTATCACACCTCTTGTTATTCCAGAGAAGCGATTTCTGTGTTTATTATGCTTTTTGTGAAGATATGCCATGAATTCGGAATTGTCAGTTAACAGAAGGTATATCAACAATATCATCCTACGAATATCTAAATGACCACTCTATTATGTTCTTCCAAAAATTATCAAACTGTTGGTGAAAGAAAAGAAATTGATTAAAGTAGTTAAGTCATGATTGACATGACTGCCAACTTCAGATCGTGACTCAATTAACTAACATACTGTCTTTTCAGTCACGAGTTATCCCGTTATGATTACGAAATATCTTCAATAGACGGACACTACTGATCAATAGGGATATGTAACTACCTACTTGAATCTTCATAATCAGTCGAACTGTGGCATGGTACCGAAATAGTCAGCAATGTCATAAAATTCAGGAATTCTCGAATCTCTCCAAATAATAAGCAGCCGATAATGAAGTGATATCTACCTTGAATCTAATGGTGTCTTGTTTCCACCTTGGTCTGATGATTTTCAGTACTTCCAATGCTCCTTCCTGGATGTTATTTTCATCAATCGTCACGTCGATAAAAGGAACGTGAAGCTTGGTTTCGAAATTCATTCTTATCAGCGCGATTTGTGAGTTTATCTTCTGATTATGTACGTAATACACTAGAACAATTGGCGCAGAAACACGTCCAACACATACAGCACACTGTACTTGAATGGTAAAGGCGGATCAATTCATGCATTAACTAAACGCCGTCCAATTATTATTACACAAATAATATGGTAAACGAACAGATAAGAGTACCAAGTGAATTGTGAGTAAATAAATCAATGGACCAGAATATGAATGAGGTTACTCAGTATTCCAAGAACGAATATTCACAGTCATTAGTACAGGTCAAGTTGGTACAATCACACTTCTATCGATATATTTATCCATAATAATAATAAATTGAGAATCTCTGTATGATGAAAAAAATAATTGTTCGATACAAGTATTCAGTCCATTTATATTATATTCGTGATTGGTATAATAATGTGGGCATTTATATGCCAGTAGCTTTGTTTTTTTTAATTTCTGTTAACAAGCAATCAGAGAGGAACACGCTTCATGATGTAACTACACATACCAGTGTATTAATTATTTCACATTATGATCTGAGTATTATGAATCTACAGGTTGTCCCATGACTTATTCGCCATAAGGCAATAGGTGATTCTTCTTTGAACATTATAGGGATTTCCTTTCGTGCGCTCCAAGCGATAAAAGGAATATATATATATATATATATAGAGGAGAGGATTAGACGACTGTCTAAGTTAAGGATGAAACTGTCGATTTCCTTCGGGTATGCAGTCAAAGAAAAACAAAGTGTACTCTTGTTTCTGTTCAAGCTTTCGAGTCTTTATTGGCTCTTCATCAGGAACTCTATAAAACAATTAAAATTGATATGGAACTTTAATCCTTGTTATCGATTATAAAACACTTACGGAAAATGAGGTTTTGTTGAAGCTGGCTTCCATTAAGTGGGGAATAATACATGTGTAAAAGAACATTCACAACATGAAAACATCAATATTTTTGAAAGTTGATAAAAATTATTACATTATATTTGATTTTAGTCGAGAAAACTTGCAAAGCATTTTTGCTGCGGTAAATATTACAACATGGCTGACAAACAGAAGCAGAACAGTAACATGGACACCTGTCTGAATGAATTATGTAATGATCAAAATTTCATCTGTCATGAGTCAATTGTCAAAATTCAAACATCCGGAAATGACGGTAATTCATTAAAGTGAATAAAAATAGAAGAAAAAGATGGACATTCCAATGATGGTATTGCCAACTGTTCGTTTTTACCGGGAAATTTAAAATTCATCAATGATTGTTATGTTATTGCGGTTAGCTGGTAAACTTAAAAGGTGCGAGTAAATTATGCTTAAATTGTCTATGTCAGTTCTAGTATTAATAGTGTTCGTTGATTTGAAAATATGTGTCATTTCTAAAAAGGTTCTTTTTTTCAAGTTTGATTCATGTTCTAATATTGTCACATTATCATAATCTGGTCTGTGATCATAGGTATTCACATGATGTGCTAAGGAAGAAGTTAATTTGGATAATCTAATGTCACTTTTGTGGGATATGATGCGGTCTTTGATTTTTCTTTTTGTTTGGCCTATATATTTCTTGTTACATTGTGAACATGGAATGCAATATACAACATTAGACTGTTCCATTAATTCATCTTTATCTTTTAATTTTGAAAATATGTTATTAAGAGTGATTTGATTTTTGAAGGCAATTTGAAGGTTTGGAATTTTTGATAATATATTTTTGAATTTGTTACTAAGAGAGTTAATATATGGGAGTGAAACATAAATTTTTAGATTGTTGTTGTGAGGAAGGGCGATGTCACCTACATTGTTATCAATGATGTTTGTTCTCTGAAAAAGTAATTTATGAATTAGGTTTCTTGGGTAACCACTATTGATGAATAATTGGGAAAGTTTTTTTAAGTTGTCATTCCGCAGAGTATTGTGACTGGTCTTTTCTACTCTGTTCTTCATTCCTAAAACCAAGTTGATTTTTTGTTTTTTTTGATGGTAGGATTCATAATGGAGGAATCTTCCAGAGGCACCTGGTTTCGTATACCAACTGGTAATCAGTTTATTGTCCTGCCTTCTTATGACCTTTGAGTCTAAAAAGGGGACACTGGAACATACGTCTTCTTTTTCAACAGTAAATTGTAGGAAATCATTGTAGGAGTTAAAGACAAGTAACAATTGTTCAACACTATTGTGTGGGACACTGAGAATTATGTCGTCTACATATTTTTTAAGAAAAGGAATATTGAACGGTAATTTGTTTAGAGAATCAATGATTAAATCATCCATTACATATTGAGCAATGATAGGAGACACAGGACTTCCCATTGGCATTCCAGCAATTTGTTTGTACACTTCATCACTAAAACTGAAAACTGTTGTGTCATATAGAAATTCTATTAAGTTTAGGAAGAGTTGTTTAGAGATCTTACAATGCAGTTTTATCTCATTCCAATGTCTTTCAATGCTTTTTTTGGCAAGTTCAACTGTGACATTATTAAAAAGTGCAACAACATCCAGGCTCACTAGGACATAGTTAGGTGGAAGTTGAAATTCATTTATAAATGAGCAAAAGTCAAAAGAATCTTTAATGAAGTAATCATTGTCAGTATTATATGAAATTGTGAGAATATTAGTGACTAGTTGAGCAACTCCTCTATTGGGACTATTGATACCAGAAATTATTGGTCTGAGGGATAAAGTGGGTTTGTGTATTTTGGGCAAGCCATAAAATTTGTTAATTGTTCCATTGTAGATTCTGAATTTTGTACCTTCTTGTTTTGTGATCATGGTTTTCTTTTCCAACTCAGAAATCAATTTATTAGCCTTTTGCTGGATATTGTTTGAAGGATCTGTTAGTAAAGGTAAGTAATATGTTTCATTATGTAAAAGATCTATTTTCCGTAAGTGTTTTATAATCGATAACAAGGATTAAAGTTCCATATCAATTTTAATTGTTTTATAGAGTTCCTGATGAAGAGCCAATAAAGACTCGAAAGCTTGAACAGAAACAAGAGTACACTTTGTTTTTCTTTGACTGCATACCCGAAGGAAATCGACAGTTTCATCCTTAACTTAGACAGTCGTCTAATCCTCTCCTCTACTTATAGATATGGGTTTTTATCAAGACATTAACAATCGATATGGATACGCAACCATGATCCAACTCAAGACATATGCTAACACGAACATCAAGCTTGCTTCCAACCGTAACAGATGCACCTTTCTCATAAAATGCAGACAACACAACATTTTTCCTGATCATATCACACATGGCATTAAGAACATTACAGAACTCACAAGCTCAGCTGTAGGAAGGACTTTGCACACAGCTGTAAACTTCAACGAAAGGTTAAGGATTAAACTTCTAAACCTAGAAATTAAAATTACACATGATAGTATTCGTAGTTTGGAGAGAACATTGACTTCTTCTAAAGCTAAAATTGTTAACTTATTACCATATGATATTTCTACCAACTTTTTTAGAAAACAATCAATTGCCTACAATCGACGATTTCACCAAATTAAGAATACTAATACTTCAAAATTGAACAGATTGATACAACATTTTTTTCACAAAATCAAAACGCCATCTACATGGATCAAAAATTTAACTGACACAGACATTCCTGATGATATATCCAATTTTTTAGCATTAGGGCCTAAATTCAGTATCGAACCAAATTCCAGAGAAATCAATTTACCTCGTTTTTTGTCAGATATTGATTACATCTCACAATTCATTCCTACCACAGAGGATAAAAATATCTTTTTGGCTAAATCCACAAACATTGTAACAAATTATATTCATTCAAATAGCACCACAAACAATCAACTTCATAATATTTTTAATAAAACCAAAAAATTCATTAAGGACAATCCTCACTTGAAAATAATACAATCAGACAAAATGAAAGTGACAACTATCATCACTCATCAACAATATGTAGACTTAGCAATAGATCTTTTACATAATGAAACATATTACTTACCTTTACTAACAGATCCTTCAAACAATATCCAGCAAAAGGCTAATAAATTGATTTCTGAGTTGGAAAAGAAAACCATGATCACAAAACAAGAAGGTACAAAATTCAGAATCTACAATGGAACAATTAACAAATTTTATGGCTTGCCCAAAATACACAAACCCACTTTATCCCTCAGACCAATAATTTCTGGTATCAATAGTCCCAATAGAGGAGTTGCTCAACTAGTCACTAATATTCTCACAATTTCATATAATACTGACAATGATTACTTCATTAAAGATTCTTTTGACTTTTGCTCATTTATAAATGAATTTCAACTTCCACCTAACTATGTCCTAGTGAGCCTGGATGTTGTTGCACTTTTTAATAATGTCACAGTTGAACTTGCCAAAAAAAGCATTGAAAGACATTGGAATGAGATAAAACTGCATTGTAAGATCTCTAAACAACTCTTCCTAAACTTAATAGAATTTCTATATGACACAACAGTTTTCAGTTTTAGTGATGAAGTGTACAAACAAATTGCTGGAATGCCAATGGGAAGTCCTGTGTCTCCTATCATTGCTCAATATGTAATGGATGATTTAATCATTGATTCTCTAAACAAATTACCGTTCAATATTCCTTTTCTTAAAAAATATGTAGACGACATAATTCTCAGTGTCCCACACAATAGTGTTGAACAATTGTTACTTGTCTTTAACTCCTACAATGATTTCCTACAATTTACTGTTGAAAAAGAAGACGTATGTTCCAGTGTCCCCTTTTTAGACTCAAAGGTCATAAGAAGGCAGGACAATAAACTGATTACCAGTTGGTATACGAAACCAGGTGCCTCTGGAAGATTCCTCCATTATGAATCCTACCATCAAAAAAAACAAAAAATCAACTTGGTTTTAGGAATGAAGAACAGAGTAGAAAAGACCAGTCACAATACTCTGCGGAATGACAACTTAAAAAAACTTTCCCAATTATTCATCAATAGTGGTTACCCAAGAAACCTAATTCATAAATTACTTTTTCAGAGAACAAACATCATTGATAACAATGTAGGTGACATCGCCCTTCCTCACAACAACAATCTAAAAATTTATGTTTCACTCCCATATATTAACTCTCTTAGTAACAAATTCAAAAATATATTATCAAAAATTCCAAACCTTCAAATTGCCTTCAAAAATCAAATCACTCTTAATAACATATTTTCAAAATTAAAAGATAAAGATGAATTAATGGAACAGTCTAATGTTGTATATTGCATTCCATGTTCACAATGTAACAAGAAATATATAGGCCAAACAAAAAGAAAAATC